TAGATTACATTCACTTAAAATGTTTCTTAACTTATACATGTTTCATGGCTATATAGCTTTTATTTACATGAATTATTTTTTAATTTTTTTATGAAATGGCTATACATATAGAGAGAGACTACATCCACACAAAATGTTTTTTTAACTTTTTCATTATAAGATAACTATATATAGTCCATATCTACATAAAAAATTTATAATTATAAATAACTTAAATACACATGAAACTCAAGTTTTGAGTTAATCTATCAAATTATTCAGGTTTAATTGGGCTAGTTACAAACCTGAATTTTGACTATTTAAAATCTAGCAAGATCTTAGATTCCGAGTCAACTCATTGTTCTGAGTTTATTTTTATATTTATAGCTAAAATATTTTCGGGGTCTGTGCTCACAACCAACCCATCCCAATGGTTGTTTAATGGAGACAGCTGCCTAACTCCTTTAAAAGATCGCAAAATGAGAAGGGAATGCACAACACTGGAATGGGGTTGAGACCTTATAACAGTAATGTTCTCTCGGAGCCAAAGATGATTACAAGAGAATGTGGACAATAACTTTGTTGAAGCAAGATTTAAGGGAAGGAACGAAGATGACAACTTCCAAAACAAGACTAAAACAAAGAACAAATGCATTTAAATTAGAGAACGAGAAAGCATACATGAGGTATAGATTATCCTACTTTGCTGCTGAAATAAAATTGAATTCCCAAAACGAAATTGATGTTGCTTCAAGTTGCAAGCAACTCGACTTTAATGGTTTCAGTTGGAATTGGAATGGTTCATGAAGGGTACGTAAAAGTCAATCAGACAGATTTAGGGGATGATTCACGGTAAAATAAAATTCAACATTAAAACATACTTCATGATGAGATAGAGGTTGTTAAAGAATAATATAAATTATATTTTGAGATTTTATTTAGCAGTTTAAGTTATTAAGTTGAGATGGTTTTTTGACATGGTATTAAAGCTTTGATGAGGTTTTTTGACATGGTATTAAAGCTTTGATAACCAAGCGGTCACAAGTTCGAATCTCATCATTCTCGTTTATTTGATAAAAATTAAACACAAAGTAATATAAACCTATGCAAGTTTCAAGTCCAAATGGTTTTTACTTGAAAAGATATATTAAAAAATAATATAAATCATATCTTAAAACCTTACCTAATAATTTAAATTATTAAATTTAAATGATTATTTGAAATAAATTACACAATAACATAAATCAGTCTAACAATCATACCCTTTCAATCTTACATATTTTTAAGAGTTAGCCGATTACAAGTTCAAAAATAAAAACATTTGACTAGCTGTCAAGTGTTTATTTCTTGGCAAATGATTGAACTTGGACTGAGTAAGCAAATCCAAGACTTCTTAATTCCATTTTCATGGTTCATAAGGGTAAAATCTTAACTCCAAGATACCATATATATTCCCGTTAATTATTATCATAACTATTATTATTATAATTATTATTTTTATTATAAGTTTTTATATCATATTATCATTAATAAATAATATTTTAATTGTTAACGGTTATACATTAATTGATTTTTCTCTAAATTTTCAACAAAATTTATAATTGATTAAATTTAATTCAGATCCATTGTTTTTTTTAAATCAAACGATTTTATATATTTCACATTATGTATTTTAAAGAATATTTTTTTATGTTGTCTTGAAAGTTTGAGTTCAGAATGTAAAGATAAATAAATAAATATCCTTATCAAGCAGGATTACTCCTTTATACTATAGCTATAATTCATCATTCTGATCAATTCAATATTAGATTAAAAAAAGAAAGGAAAAAGAAAAAGAAAAAGAAAAGCAGACCTTAAGGATGTAACCGATTACAAAACCATGGGCCTGAAATTATTGGATATGAAACCTTGTTGATTTTGCTGCTCTTCATTTATTAAGTGGGGTATTCGAGAGCTGTGCGCAGGATCATGTGCTTTCACGACCTTTTCTTATTAAATTTGCTTCAATCATTAGCCACTCGACAACTATTTCAACTTCCAACTCCTCCCATTCCAAAACTGCTGAGTTCATGGCGGCTTTACTATCAGACCAATGGAGATTCCGACCTGGCATAACCATCAGTTTTTTAAAGGTGCAACTCTGTGTGTGTGTGGTGTAACTCTGCGGCTAAATATATATAGATATTCATATGCAAGTGTTTCAGACCAGATAGATCACTTATCAATGGTGGTTCTCTCCTGATCAAGCATTCATATTAAGTGCGACAATATCATATCCATTACCATTACCATTACCATTACCTTCGAGATTTGAGATGATTAAGATATATTCTCTTAGGATAGATAGTTACAAAGAGACTACCATGGCCAGCAAAATGCTGTCCCAGCCTCTTCAAAAACTTTATTCTAGTTTGTCGAATTCTAGGGTTGCAAATAGTTCATCAATGCTTCATACTGGCGCACCAGCACACACATATATTGTCGGGATGGGATTTAGTCACAGGTGAAGTGATCTATCAGTGTTTGTGTTCATACTGATATTATCAGAACCAATTCGCTAATCGGGCCGGAGGGGTCAATATTAAATTAAACTACTTAAAATAAAAATAGACACTATAAAAAAAACATTAAAACAATGTTTAGTGAACCAACTCGCCTTTATTTTTTTCATTGAAGTTCTTTTTTTTAATTAGATACTTTTGCTTTCATTTAACAAACCTTAACTCTTTTTCTTCCATTTACATTATTTTTTTATTGGATACTTTTTCTTTTCATTAATAATTATGGTGCAATTTAACAAAAATTAATGCTCAATAAATCATAAAATGATATGAAATCATAAACACTCTAAGCAATATAAAATTGAAGAAGTATTAAAAAAAATACAATACAAGAGATAGATAGGTTACAATAGTTACCCATAATTTTTATTATTATCATTATATATTGCATTTATTTTTTTATTTTCAATTTAATCTTTTTATATTAAATAAATTTAATTTGAGATTGAATTTGATACTTTATTTCAGCTGATTTTATATAGAGCTCTTGAAATATTAAAAATAAGTTTGGATTATGAGTTGAGATTTAATTTAACAAAGTAAGATTTAATTTTATTAATTCAAACCAATTAAAAATTTTGGAATTGAATTTTAAACTAAATAAATATATAAACTCTTTATTATTTAAAACATAATATTTTTATCTCATCTTCTCAACTCATTTTTTAATTATAATCGACATATTTATTATTTTAAACACAAAAATAAACATTTTGGTTTCTGGTAAAAGAAAAAAATGATGGTAAAAATACAATAAAAACACGTTTTGCGTTGAGAAGAAAAGGACCACATCCCACTGCATTGCATACCAGAGAACTTAGTGGTGCTTCCGACCCATTTCATCCATGCATGGAGGTCTGGTGTTTAGCTCCAGATTTTACATCTTTTATTTTGTGTTTTTTCAAAAGGAAGGCGTGGCAGGGAGCGCGTGCGCGTGTATAAGAATGACTGCACATCTCCTTCTTCTTCTTCTTTTAATTTCCTATGAGATGCTGGGCTTGATCCCAAGCCTCACACCAACATTTTCTTTTCCTAAAAAACCGTGTTTGCGTGGCGGGTCATGTTTGTATTCTTGTAGGACCCTACCACGTGGAGCAAAGTCAAATAATTTTTATTATTATCCTTTCAAAATCATAAATTAAAATACTGTCTCGTTTTATTTTGCAAGTTGCCAGACCAGAACAAAATGTAGCTGCTAGGACTTCTGTTCACATCGACTGGGCAGTTATGAACGGCTGAAGATATCCTCTTTTTATCTTCACTTTCACTTTATGTATATATAATAGTACATTTGTCTATGATACCCTCGAGGTAAATTTTATTGAAAAAATAAAATAAAATAAGACTATAGTTTTTTTTATTTTTGACAGTATCTTAAAATTAAATTATCAGCTCTAAATTCTTAAAAACACATTAGATTAAATTAAAAAAATCAATAATCAAATGGAATAAAAGGGTCAAAATACAAAAAAAAACAAAACAATGTGAATTACTATTATAATTCATAATGTTAATTAATACAGAAAAATAATATTTTTATTTTTTATTTAATTATTTTAAAAAAAATCAATCACACCGCAATGCTAAGATATTTTTGTTAATATTAATTTTTTTTTTGATATCATGATAATTATATATAAAAAAATAAAATAAATTATTAAAGCCTTATAGACATGTCATATTATGAATTAAAGAAAAAGACATCAATAACCAAATGGAAAGAAAGGTGTAAAAACAAAAAACAGCATGAATTATATATATAGAGTTGTGGATTGATGGGTTTCTTTTGGTTCATGTATCAACTCCAATATTCAGAACCAGTCCTAACTCTTGCAAAAGTCAAAGGAGGTCATTCCTATATGCAGTTTAGATTTGCATTCCAAGCCATGTTTCATGAAGGTTTTTTAAAATAATTTTTTTATGTTTTTTTTTAATTGTTTTAATGTGGTAATATTAAAAATATTTTTTAAAAAATAAAAAATATATTATTTTAATCTATTTTTAAATAAAAAATATTTTTAAAAAATAACTTACAAAAACCAATTGAATCATATCCATTTCAAATTTCTTTTCTTGTTCGTGGGGGCCCTCTTTCTTTTATAACATCTACAGATATATGGATTGAAAGATACTAAATTATCTACGTGAAAGGTATACAAATAAAAGAGGGCAACAGAAATATTCACAACTTCAATATCGGTAACTATATATATATAATATCGAAGATAAGTTTTGAAGCTAAGGGGTGCTCAGTTGCATTAAATAAACTGCCAACTTTCAAGTGACTTGCACCGGAATACAATCATGTCATACTTTAAAAAATGCCACGAGGTATCATGTAATATTTTTAAAAAGAGAAATAGAATGTACAGCGTTCGTTAAGCTAAAAGCAGGGTTTGTATTATTGAATGAGAAGAGTGCGGAGCCCGTTGAAATTGAAAATAAAAGTAGCTAGCAGGGAAAGATGATATCCAATGACTCTTTGATGGGACAAAATGGACATTTCACAGGTTAAAAGGGTCAAAAAGAAGAAGATCACAGCCAATAGCCAGGCCGTGTTACCATTCTGTCATGCCTTATGTTCGGGGCCGTGAGCCCTTCGAAAGCCTGCATCAAAGACATTGGCCTGAGGACAGTAGCCCAACTTAGTATTGGGCTCGCAAGTCCAGTGACCAGGTTGCTCGAAGGGCTCAACACCCGGGCAGGAGGGAAGACAATTCCTTTCCATTTTTACGTCATGGTATACTCGGTTACAATCCATCACGTGGGTAGCTCAGGTCACTAGAATTAAAGACTAGGCGGATCATCTCTCTATAGTTTGTGTATGCGACCTCGTGATATTTACTTAATCTCCCTGTGAAACAAAGTATAATCTGCAGTTACGCAAAAAGCTTACTAGCAGGGGTCAGTCCAAAGGAATGAAAGGTGAAGCGTGCCTCCGCGCTGGATAATGAGGAAGTAATCATCCGAATTCAATTGGACTTCATCTCGATATCTCTACTCTCCTTTGGAATGGCATCGGGCCTATCATTGGGTAGGAGGCCTAGGAGTGGCAAAGGAAGCAATGAGCTGAGATTACAGAGAATAATCAAAAAGGCCAAGTTGTCAAAATTATCCTTTGTGACTCCAAAAAACTGAGTCAGACCAGCACCGATCAGCCCTCCAAGAACACTCCCTCCATTTGAAATAGACATAAGGGTCGCGAAAAGTGTAGCTTCCATGCCCTCCGGACATAACTTTGCCGCTAGCACAAGAACTGGCATGAAAGAGGCCTGCAAAAGTACCAATACGTTTTTAGCTGCTTCGGCATACAATTCTTGCTAGATCAACCTTGCACAAGATAAGAGATAAAACAGTTGAGGCGTGAAAATAGGCAGCTAAAATGAAAATAGCTCATGTTGAGGATATGGATGGCTAAACATCCACAGTAACACAACAGGATGATCTAAATATCTAACTAGTAACCAAAACCATGCCTAAAAGTGGACATATGAAAGAAACAATGCAATGCAACCAATTTCAATATAAAGATAACTTCCCGATCCTTTAGGAATACACCTGGTTGAAAAAAGTGCTCAAAATCACTGAATACCAAAATGTCAAACCACAAACCCCCCAACCCACCCCGCCAAAAAAAATTCAGCAAACTGGGACATGAAAGTTTCCAGACATAAAAAGCTGGTCTTCCAGCTTGCCACATGCCGGTGTAACAGAACTAAAAATTTCAACAACGTCATAGCTGTCATAAAAGGTATGGCAAACATATGTTACCTGACCAAGGACTGTTAGAATCAAAGAATCCCCAATAGCAAACCATTCGTCACTTATCCCCAACTTTCTGTTTAAACCAGTAACAAGGAAAACCTGAGCCAAAATATTAACAAAAATGAATATGTATAATAGACTCCATTAAACACAATTATCCACTGCTAAGCCTGGCTTGAAGTGAATCATAACACAAACCTGAGTCATCCCAAGAGCTGTACCAGTTACAGTAGTGGCAACAAAGATCTTGCGCAATGGAACATTTTTCAAAAAGCCATTATACAGTCCAACTCCAAGCAGTGATGCAACTGAGGTAACAAGCTTGACACGTCCAAGAAATTCTGGAGTGAAACCAAGTTTATTTGTGCTGAAAACAAAAAAAATTAGATATCAGAGTCAATCAATAATTTTGAGTAGAGATGAAACTAAATTAGAAGGACGAGTTAATGCTAATCATTGTCTGCACATACGTGAAAAAAAACATGGCAGAATCTGATTGTGGTGTTGCCTGCCACAGGAAAATAAATAAAGTGGGAAGAAGCACATTGGGCTGCTTAACGGCATCCCATAACTGAACAATATGCTGCTTTGAGCTTTCCAGAAAGCCAGAACCAGGCAAAGCAAGACTCGGTCCACTTGCCGGACCAAGCACACGCTGTTCTCTCACAAGAACAGCAACTGCTGATGTTACCAAAGGTAGCAACGCCGTAACACCAAAAACAAACCTGAGAATGAAAAATCAGCACTAATTTGATTAATTTGAATGTCATCTGTGCCAAGTTATTACACTTGTCAAAACCACTTTCAAGTACCTTACACCATAAGCATCCACCAGAGAGCCACTAAAGTAAGAGCTTACAATCCCACCAAAAGCCGACGACCCCCAGCATAAAGACTGAAGAGATCCTGACATGCTCTGTGATTCCCCACGAGCTCTCTCTACCACCATAGAATCCACAACCTACACAGTAAACCAATTTTTGGGCAAATCACTGTCATGTAATTAGCCACTGCCTTTCAAGAAAGGGAACCCCAAGCCTCTATGTACAGAATTTATTTTCTTGGCAAGCACACAAGAGTAGTTTGTTGTTAAAACCCACAGGAGTTGAAAATCAATATCCTTGATATGAAATTTTGACTTCATAAGCAGAGCACCAGCCCTGAGATGAATGTGCTGGTAAAGTTCTGTTAAAAATAAGCCTCGGCAAATTAGTACCTCCTGCATACCACTCTGATGGATAACCCACAATCATATCATGAAAAAAAAAGAAGGTGAACCTTAGGGTGACACTGCTAGGTAATTAATGGTTGACATTGTGTTAATGCAAAACAAATTGGCTCACAATTAATTCCATATATTTCAAAGCATTAGCATGTTTTAATGATCGTTCAACTGATACCGCTAAATTCAGTCATCAACACATCATATTCTCTCAAAAAGTCATCGATTCTTAATCAATCCTTGAATCAATGACTGTTATGCCCAGGCATTTTAATAAATTCATAGCATTGAAGATACTCACAACATCTGAGAAAGCAACAGAAAGCGATCCAAGAAGTATGCAGAAGGCGGCACTGTACTTGCTATCAACAAAGGTAGACATCAAACTCCAAGAAAGCGCACCAAGAAGTCCTGAAAGAACCAAGTACGACCTTCTTCGATAACCAAAGAGTGGAACAGAATCACTGCAACAACAAAACAATTACTTAAAAGAAATGCAGAAATGAAATGCAGAAATGAAACAATTTCTTGCACAGCAGGAAGGAAATGTAGAAGGATACAGACAATAAATAAAATCGCACCTAATAAACCCATAAAGAGGTTTGATAAGCCAAGGTAACGCGGAAAAACCGGATATCACAGCTGTCTAGTCAGCCATGTACCTTGTCAGTCCTCGAAGATAATAAAAAGAACACATGAATAACAATAAATTTCCTCTGATACCATGCAACCAATTTCAAAAAAAATCATCAAGATTTTAAGAAAGATGAATCACTATCAAGAAAAAAAAATTAACAAGAGGAACATTAACTGGATAAAAGCTCAAACATTAACTTTTCTCATCACCTCATCATTATAAAGAAAACAAGCAGGACAACTTACCTCTGCAGGTTCTAAATGCAAATCATCTTTCAAGTAAAAACTGACAGCGAGCCTAGCAAGGCCCAAGACACCTTGAACAAAATACACCATTGCTACTGCAATATTATCTGGTGACAAGTCCACGCCAAAGCATATTCTGCTAATAAGATATTTGCTTTTACGCATAGCAGTTTTACTAGTTGAGCTCATCTCCCCTTCAACATCTGCTGTTAATATTTCTCCTTCACCAGTACCTAGTTCAAACATGAGCACACGTACACAGTTACACTAACTACATACATTATCTGATCTACCCAAAAAAATAAAGCTTCTAGAAATTATAAACCTTTTCCAGTTTATTAAGATTGAAAATCTTTAATTACAGCTCTTGATAAATGCGGATTTTTAAATTTAAATTTATGCTTAATCTCTGAAAGAAGAACATCTCCCTTAATCTATTAACTTAAGTAGCCATTACTTTTAACGACAGGAGAAGTGGACAAGTGCAGCAGGGTTGTTTTTTGAGATATCCAAAGAAAAATGAAAAATCACTATAGACATAATCTGATCGTAATTGACGAGTATAAACTTACTGTTTGTTGAATCCAGAACCGAGTCCTGGCTTTTGTCACGCCGGTGAGATGGCGTGGGCAAGGTGATTGCAACCGACATATCCTTTCCCCCAGCTAGTTTCCGCCGTGGCCTCCGGCTAGTTCTTCTGCGAGAGACAATGGATAAGCGTTTCCGGTGAATCTGGGAGAGGGGAGACGAGGTCAAAGAGGATAAAAGTGGATTTTGATGAGAGGGTAAAATTGAGAATGAGCTCCTGGAGTTTGTTGAAGCCATTATGAATATTATTTTTAGTATTATTAATTGCTGAAAAATAGCAGTACAGGTTTGATTGCTGTTGCTTCTAGTTCCGCTCAAAATGACTTGAGTATCCTCGTCAATGCAATGAGCATCGTGGCTGATAAATCGACACGTAACCATTTAAAGCCCGTTGATTATATGAGTGGACTATCGGCGGGTTTCAGTTTCGCCCATTTATCAAGGCCCATTTCTTGAAAAATTCACGCGCCTTTTTCTCTTCCTTTCTTCTCCTCTAAAGCACCAATCACAGGCGAATATATTTTTACTGATGTGAGTTACCAAAAACTATATAAAATAATTTTAATTTACTTTAATTCTCTATTATTTATTAAACGTTGATTTAATTATATTATAAAATAGAAATACAACGTAAAGGGTTGTAAAAAACATATTATGTATTCACTCTTAAATCAATCACATGCAAACAAAAAGAAATACATAAAAATGTATTGTATATTTTATTTTATGTATAAGACAATGAACAAAAATAAAATGATGAGATTAGTAAAATATTAAAAAATAATAAATAAAATGATGAGATTCAAGCAGATGTGCATTTCCTTTTCTTTTTTCCATCAAAAACTCATCTAAATAATCTTATAAACCTCACAAATACAAATTAAAGCTGGAAACTATATTATAAATATGCATGACAATGGACTGAATAAAAAATCAGTACCTGCTTTATTTCTCTTGTCTCCTCACATGACAGGTGTTGAAATTTCTTCAATTTATATTTTGAAAATAGACAGAATCTTATACTTGTCTTTGCAAATTAAGCATGTTATATTTTTAATATAATTACACTTATCTAAAAAAAATAGTACTACACAAACGCACGAAGATGAAGAGATATTGTGTAAATCATGTTTGAAAATATCACAAATATTAAGTATACAACGACAACAACAAGATTTATGTTACTCCGATATCTTTATTAAATATAGTATTATTTTAGTTTTTTTTCAATGTAAAAATTATATGTTATTAGACTGATTAATTAAAAGATAAATAATAAACATTGTCATATTCTAGTAGTAATTGACTACTTCACAAAATAAATAAAAGTTTATTCACATGTCTATATAATTCAAAAAGGTACAATTAAATAAATATTAATGTATCGCATCCAATTATATCGTTCTAAACCAAACGTTACCTACATATGCCTAAAATCATTGTGATAATCTTTATATTCAAGATGTGGCATTATTGGAGAACTTTGACAGGTGAAAAAAAAAACAATATAATTTCAAGACATTGATTAAATATTCGAATCTTTAATAGTTAATGTTTAGATATTTAGTTTGTTTACTACACGTGAAGTGTAGCCTTCTTCAATTCTCATTAAACCCGACAATTCTGTTGTGTGTACAAACTAGCTCGTTTTTCATTAATAAATGGTTATTAGGTAAGAAAGGCAACAAGAACTAATCATTGAGGTTTACACATATCAAGGTGTGACGAAGCATAACCGGTACCACAATACTATCACATCTACAAGAAAATAGAAATTCCTCAAGAGTCGAGACTGAAGAGCCCACGGTCCCATTTTGATTCCATGTTAGGTCTCTCCGCGAGCCACCGGCAGAGAGCACGCCGTCTTGTTGGGCAGCACCGCGTTGTCTGCCTCAAAACCAAACATCTTGGTGCCTTGCGAGTTTTTTTTCGAAGGAAAAAATCCTCGACATTACGATTATTGCCAAGACATCCTTCTGTGCCATCTCTGTTGCCCTTCCTCGTCTAGTGAGCTTACCAAGTATCAACCTTTTATTTTCGTGTTCTTTTCTTTTTAACAGATGCCGACCCTTAACCATCTTGAATAAGAAAGCAAAAGATACACAGCGAACTGGTCAGCTTTCTTCCATTATACAAAGCACACAGAACGCTGCCAATTGTTTTTCATTGAAAAGGCCAATAATTTAAATCCTTGATGACAAATTTTTGGCTCTTGAAAAGAATGAAATCCTATTTGTGTCAGGCTGGTGCGAGGCTATAGAGATACCATCAACTTATCCAGTAGTATTTAAGGTAGCCCACCGGTGATTCTGCTTTCAGAATACTGATATTTGATTGGGGCAAACGGCGTCTTGGCGTGGAAGTTTTGAAGGTGTTCTAACTATAGTCTGCTTGATCTGTAAAGAATTTCAGTCACAGAGACTATTCCCTCGGACCTGTTCCCTTCAATAATTACAAGTCTTGCTTGCATCATTGGGCCATATAGTAATACAAATAATACAAGGAATTATTATTTCAAGACAGATTGACAGCAAGAACGTTATTAATAAGAAGATGAGAGAGGGCGTCCCGAAGAAAAGAAAAGGATTCACTACAGTTGAGATTATTGGACCTATGTGCTTAATTAACTATTCTATGATAGCTTCTAGCTATATAATATAAAGAAAAGATAAAGTAAGCTTTAGTCACACATCATCATCATCACACCAACTCGAAACCAAACCCTGCGGCCAAACCCAACATCAAGCACCAAAATCATCACTTCAATAAAATCAAATTTACAGATCATATTTTGGCTTCCGGGTCCCTGTCTATTTTCTACAAGGACAGAGTAACGAAGTGATAAAACAAGGGAGAAAACATGAAAACAGATTCAAGCATTGCATTGAATTACCTACTATCTTTGCTTACGCTTTTATCAATTACACCTGTCTTGAGTTGAAGCAAGAATTTGGTAATAGTCCTACAAAGTTACCCTTATGATGAGAGAGTAGTTGCCTGGTTGGTTTATTTCTTAGGTTGGTCCAGCTTTCAGGCAAGGAAGACTACTCAAAATTATGAAAACTGGCATCAGGAACAAGTTCACAAGCATTATCTGGAGCCAATTCATCTATTCCCTCCTCTAACATCATCGCCTGGTTCCGGCATTCATTGCTGCAGAATGCCCTTCCCCCTCTGAAAAAGAATTAAATCATTCGAGGAAAGCTTTAATTTTATCGGTAAGTAATCGGAGATGAAACTAGAAATAAAACAATCTAAGCACTACAAAATAAATCATAGCAAGTCAGTCCAATATCAGAGATATTTGAACACTCATCAGTTCAAAATTATTTCGAAATAGTCTGAGATTCCAAGAAAAGAATACGCAGGTTGATCGATTGAATGCTTGTTGAATTTGAAAAAAAATATATTACTATGTATGAGCTGAATCTCCATGTCTAATGTATAAGTTAACAAGCATGCATAGCCTTCACATAAATCATGTTGAAAGAAAGCAGAAACATCTCAAAAAAGGAAACATGAACTAACCCGTAAATGTAGTTGTCTTTTCCCTGCTCAAGGTTCTTCTTGCAAGAAGAGCAGAAGCTTAAGAAACTATCAGATCGATATGTTAACCCGTCACCCAAAAATCTATTGTTGTCTTTCCTTGAAGAAGCAGAGAAGCCAACAGCACCACAACAGCTCTCAACAATGCAATTGTCAAAAATATGAGTAGTTTTGGGAACAGGCCCGTGAGTGATTACACAAGTATAATCCTCAGAGAGCTCCATTTCACTAGCAGAAAGACACCCAGTGAAGACCCGGGGAGAATTAGGAGTGTCCATGCCCGAATTAGCCGATCCGCATAATGATTTCTTCACTGGAGAAGGGGACAACCCAGAGGAGAAAGAACCGAATTGAGAGTTTCTCGTTTTGATACCAAAATCACCGTTAAGTTTGGGAGATTGATCCGTTGGTGAAAGAAATGGTGGAGGCAAAGGAGGGATTTGGATCTTTAATTGGGAACCAAACAGAACCATTCTGCTTTCTGCTTTTGACAAATTGGAGTCAGTTTCTTCATCGTCAAGAGCATCAACAATGCCAAGACCAATGCCTTTGGAGTCTAGTTTGTCCCAGTGGCGCCTGGTATCAGGTTCCGCGGTTTTAGGACTGGGGCAAGCGTCATGCCAGAAGGGGTTTTTGAGGCCCGAGAAGGGCTTGCTATCAAGAATTGAAGTTGGGCTCACAATTGCCTCTGCTGTTTCTGAGAAATTCTTGAAGGTGAAGCCAGTGAGCAATTTCGGAAATGAAATCGGTTTTCTGAACTTGTCTGTTGGAGATGGGATTAAGCTATGCTGTGACATTAGAGCTTGCTTGCTTGTTGCAGTTCTTGATCTCTTTTTTATCATCTCAATCAAATACTATATTCCCACACTGAGTACGAATACATAAAAAATTAATGAACGAGCTACCAAATTTAACTAAAAAATGAAGGCTTTGTTAACCAACAAAAAAAAAATGACAGGAGATTTACCTGGAAGGATTTGGGATTTCACCCAGTAGTATCCATGGATTCCAGGGGCTAAGATCAAGACCAGCTTCGAGCTCAGAAATATGAAAGAATTTCTTGGATACGTTGCTTCCTTGAAGGTTTATGCTAGGGAAAGATAGGCAAAAGACTGGTGCCAGTACAGTTAAAACCGTCATATTCAGTAAACCAAGAAAGAACAGAGTCAATAATAGGATCCATGAACCCCTCTGCTTCCACTATAGCACTGTGATCGCTTCCATTTCGAAGCACCAACTGAAAAACCAAAAAACAAAACAAACGAGGAAGAAAGAAAGAGAATCACTTTTTCCCAGAATTTCCCGCTCTTTAAACCTCAATTCATCAGCAGGAATCCCTGAGATCATAGAACAGACATGCAAAGAGGCCCCCGAGAGTTATGATCAACAGGCCAGACGTGCATGCCTCAGGCACCACCAATGACAAAAGAAGGTTTTGTACTTTTGTTCTCCTCTCACTTCGCTTTCTTTCTCTCCTCTCTCTTGGCTCCTGGCTCCCTCTCTTCTATCTCTTCTATCTTCCTTTATTTTGTGCCTTCAATAGTTTATTTCAACAGGTTTTGTCAATAAAAAAAAATATATCAAATTCAAAGCCTTAGAAACAGACAAGACCCACTAGCACAAACCCTTAAAAAAAAACAAACACAAACTATTACTCATACATGAATAAGAAAAAAAAAGGGACTAGTGACTGGAAAATACAGAGCGGTGAATGATAGCAATCGAACTGTTACTCTCTTTTCCTTTCAGTGGGCTGTCTTTGTGCATTACTTTTTTAACACTTTAAACCCACTATTCCACTCTTTACATCATCAGGACCTGAGACATCGGCCATGAAATAGCAAAGAGGACGGTCAAAATAAGGAAAGAGAGCTCGTGGGATTGAGGGGTGGTTGTTGTGTGGATCTTAAAGGAAGTTATGCATGGAAATCAGTGGTTTTGATAAAACCACTCCCTTGCCTTACAAATGACAATCACGTCGGTTTTTGAATTGCCACGAAGTGCTCTCTCTGTCCCTCTCTCGACTCTTGATTGGTCAGCAGTGACTTTAATTGAGGTTTCGATATGGGCTTTTTCGTGAAATGGTTTTGTATAATTCAGTATCAAGAATTAAATGAGGATATTTTCACGAAAGTGTTCAAATCACTGTAGAAACATCCTCTCCTTTGCTCTTTACCTTAGTAACCTCACAGATTGTGATTATGAAAATACCATACAGAAACTTGAAGGCCTAAAATAAAGACATAACCTCAGTGGGTTAAGCTATGGCCATCTCTTTTCTGTTTCGTACGTGTACTAGATTAGTTCTTCATCTCATCAACTCGAGTACCGAAAGTGTCCTGCATTATGCATCATTGCCTTACAAGATCAAGGACGAATTCGGCGATGCATATAGTTGGTGGGCGTCAATAAAAGTGTAACTGGTCGAGAAATTAAAACTCTTCGAAACTAGAGAAGGGTTAATTTGTTCTGATCATTCAGGGTTGATGGTTTTATCTTCAAGCATTTTCTTTTCTCATTGCGATGAGCATGCATTCTCACACATCTCCTCCTGTGAAGCCTATGCACAGACATGCTGTAAAATCATTATGGATTTAACATGGAACTCTCATACATAGGAGATACAGCGATCTATATACACGTGTAAGAGGTTAATCTTTCTTTTAATGAAAATCTCTTGCTTTTTGGATGCAGGTTACAAGATGTGAATAATTCTAACTCCAAATTTACATCCATTTCCATTTATTTATCTTGTAATTTGGACTCGTGGTGTCTAGTAGAAGATTTTCAAGTTGGTATTGATGTGATCAATTTATTCACATATATATGCCAATCAACTGCGATGTACTGAATCTACGTAAAAGAAATATATTAGCACAAAAACATGATAATATGCTCTGAATCCCATCATCTCAATTCGACTCTTCAACGTGTTCTGTGAAATATCCTACTGCTTGAAAATGTAAATTATTAATTATTTTTAAAAAAGAAACACTCGGCTCGGCTAGGACATGGTAGAAGCGGAGCCTAAAAGCAGGTAAAATATCCAAGTCTGTTTAGAGCATGTTTGCCACTGTAAGCTTTTTTCTCAGAATTTAAATTATTTTAAAATAATTTATTTTTTATTATTTTAACATATTAATATTAATAACTAATTTAAAAAATATTATTTTAAAATAAAAAATATTTTAAAATACAGTCTCTATTACATTTTCAAACGTGCACGTCACCACGGTAATCATCAAGATTTTTTAACTGGATCCCACTTCAAAAGGCATAGACTTCTGACGACATCCGACCCCACAAACAAAGGTAGGCCCACACTAGTTCTATTCTGCTACAGTAATAGGTCGTGTCATCGTCTCATGCTAGAGCATTTGTTTTGGCAAGCGAGTTAATAATGGTGTCAACTTTAGATGACTCAAACACCCTTTGAAAATGCATGAATGTTCTTGTAAAGCAAGGGCCGATCTTGGAAGTTAAGCCGAAAGAAGGAATCTGGGGACGCCCGACTGGAAATGATGGGTCTACACTGTCAATGATGGACATGATCACGGTTACCAGGCTCGAGCGGATCCCTGTCTTTTACTAGAAAGAGAGAAGCCTGGAGGCTGGAGATTCTATCTTGTTCGTCTTCTTCTATTTTAACGGAGATTTCATCTTATCTATATATAATATAAAATTCGAGGGCAGATTTTAAGAAAGGTTACGTATACAATTCATTCACCTATTCATTCTGCGAAGAAACATCCGTGTAAATGAATTAAAGATGAGACTATTGTATGTCATGCTTGAGGATGCTGAGTAGGATGGAAAACTGATGGGAACGAAGAAGCTCTTGAAATTGAGTTTTCGGCGTGCATGACTCTGTCTGTATGTGGAAGATTGGTGACGTGAATATTAAAGAATCAATTAACGTTGGAGAAATCTTGAGATTCGAAAAGCCACGTTCTTACCAAGAGGGATACTCATACTCTGTCCTCAGCACGGAATTTTACAAAATTTATGTACCTAATACAGACAAGCAAAAGCAAAAGAAAAAAAAGGTACAGATCTTTGCTGTGGAAGAAAATTGCCGCGATCTGTACGTTGTCAAAGATGAGCCAACTAATGTATTGTTCTTTCTGTAATTCATGCATGATTCTGTGTTAGTATAGAATTCATGTTGTTAATTAGGATATATGTATAAATCATGTGGCAGCACAAAGTTTTTGAAAATAGAGTTGTGATTATTCGGTTTTGGCAATATATTGAAGTTTGTTTTGCAACTGGAGAGAGTCTGGCTTATAAGATGAACAGTTCATTGTTATTTCAAAAAAGGCGTCAGTAAGATTTGTGTTCGAGGAGGTCTGGTGATGAGCTCTTGAACTCGATGTTTTCGATGTCTCATATGATTGGAGGGCCTCTTTTAATCCAAAATTTTGAAAGAGTGAAGCATGATTGCAAGACCTACAAGAACAAATATATTGGATGAAAAAACACAGAGCGGACGAGGGTACTGTTGTTTTGCTGCTGCTGTTGATAAGACACTATTAGAAAATTGACCAACATGAATGAAAATGCCAATGCCAGGGAGATTTTTCAGTTGGTATATTGGATTGATATTTATCGATAAAAAATTTTATTGTTAAATTTATGTGATTATTGATAATATTTTGTTAGTAACATGTAATTTTATGAATAAAATTTTATATAATTCTCTTATCCATAATATGTTAAGTTATATCAAGAAAATTATCAATAAAATAAAACAAATACATTTATTTTATTTATAAAACTATTGGTAAATTTATTAATGATAAATTTATTGACATGTTATAAATTATTAATAAATATTTTTTATTTATGATCCTGGTAAAATAATCACAAATAAACTATTAGAATAAATACTAATAAAAATTTTCATTGAAAAAAATGTCAAATAAAAAGTCAGAGGAAGAGCCATTGACAAAGAAGTTAGGGCATAAAAGAAGTCATAAAGAAAAGGTGATAAGGCCATACGATGCCTTCTGTATCAAAAAGATAGCTCGCAAATGTCCAAAAACAAGAGTCATTTGGAACATGGTGACACTAGCAAGTGTCGTTTTTTCCCACTTGAATCATATTTGTGTGATCTTTGTAATACACTTTAAAATATTTGAAAAAAATATTGTACATGTATTACGAATATAAATTTATTATACTGTTAAGAGAAAATAAATTAATATAATTTTTTTATACTATATAAAAATCAGATGATAATATTTTTTTAATTATTTTAAATTGAATTAAATTGTTTTATTAAAGCATGTTTTGTTTTTATATTTTAAATATTTTTTATTATTTTAATGTGATAACAAATCCAAAAAACAAGATCTAGGGCAATAGAGTCTGGCTCTACCATTATATTCGAGGTTATTAAATCTATTATTAAATTTAAAAGAATACTTTATATTTTTTATATTATAAGGCCATACGATGCCTTCTGTATCAAAAAGATAGCTCGCAAATGTCCAAAAACAAGAGTCATTTGGAACATGGTGACACTAGCAAGTGTCGTTTTTTCCCACTTGAATCATATTTGTGTGATCTTTGTAATACACTTTAAAATATTTGAAAAAAATATTGTACATGTATTACGAATATAAATTTATTATACTGTTAAGAGAAAATAAATTAATATTATTTTTTAATACTGTATAAAAATTAGATTATAATATTTTATTATTATTTTAAATTAGGTTAAATTTTTTTATTAAAACATGTTTTGTTTTTACATTTCAAAAATATTTTTAAAAAGTTAATATTTTTTATTATTTTAATATGATAACAAACCTAAAAAACAAGATGCAGGGAAATAAAGTATGGCTCTGCCATTAGATCCGAAGTTATTAAATTTATATTTTTTATATCTAAAATAAAAATAATTATTAACCCCACCATACCAAAGTTATTAGATTTAGCTAAAATATTTAAAATCATGCTTTATATTTTTGGGTACAATATGCTATTTCATCATTAAAAAAACAAAAAAAGCGTAAACAAAGTGTAGAAAGAAAACATAAAAAACAAATACAAAAAGGCAATTGATAATTCATTTTATGCTAATGGTAATTGATTTGATGGTTTGTACAGGTGTTGTTGACTGGGGCAACATCAATTTCTCGACTTCAAGCAGTAAAAATCAGTTAGCAGCTTCAGGCAAATCAGTTTTTTTAAAAAAATATATATAATGTGTTATTAATATGTTTTTTAATACCAAAAAAATTAATTTTAATTGAAAATTTAATATTTATATTTTAATTTTAAAAAATAAAAAATAATATGTGTTAATAAATATTAAAAAATTATTAATGTTAACTAAAAATAAAATAAAAAATTAAGAAATAGACACAGACTCAAAATACTAGGATTTTTTTAATTGTATGAAAATAATTTATTTTTTTAATAATAATAATAAGTTAAATTCTATTGAAACAAAATATTTTGCTAATATAATCTCTCATTTTCTTATCAATTTCTTTTCTATGTTCTTTGTTTAACAAAAATCAAGAGCAATAAGGGGGGGAAAATGACGATTTAAAATAAGGATAAATTGACATCTCTCTGATTAAAAATTTTTCATTTTATTAATATGCTTCATTTATTTTTATTTTGGATTTTTTTGTTTACCATTACAATTCAACATAGGCATGAAAGCAAATAAATAAAATCTTAAAAAAACTATAAAACATTAGGAAGGGCTGTAAAAAAAGAACACTTGTTAATGTTATAAAAAAAAATTACTATGATCTAACTCTGGAACAAAGTAAAAAAAATGATTGTATTTGATAAAATAATATTCAAAATAAATTCTTAATTAATTTATTTAAATGAATTGTAATTCAAATTGAAAACAAAAGTTGCCTGAAGGAAATATGAAAAGGGGGAATCTTTCGTGTGAAGAGCAAAAATAAAATGGAGAAATAAATAGAAAAAAAATAGACATTTAGATAAACAAACCCTATTCGTTGTTAACTAAACAAACCCTATTCGTTGTTTTTTTTAAAACATTAACAAGATAATAGAAAAAAATTAAAATTAAAAATATATATATATATATATATATATATATATATACTTCGATAAGTAAACTAAACCGCTTCTAATGTTTTGAGCTGTCAATGAAGTCATGAGGGACTCGGACAGAGCGAATGAAGGCGAACGGTGGTAGAACCATTTTAAAAGGTCAAAGTTGATTGCTAGCAAAACAATGTTTAATTTTGTTATTGGCTTTTTATATATTTTAAGCATATTTATTTTTATATTTATAAAACATTTATAAAAATTAAATTTTTTTTCAAAGTAATTTCCCATTGTTTTAATGTTAAAAATATTTTAAAAAAATTAAAAAAAATATCATTTTAATCTACTTTTAAATAAAAAACAAAAAATACTTTAAAAAATAACCAAAATATAAAAAATGTTGCTTTCTTGCTTTATCGTTGGTTAAACTTTTTCTTTCTTTTTTTGGCTGTTTCAGCTAGCTGGCCAGTTCAGTTTTTCCCCCCCCTTCGTTTTAAGCGTAAGTTTGCACAGTATTCAACAAAAAAACAACGAATTCTCTTATCGGTGAAATCTTTTTTTAATAAAATACTCAAAACCTTGTATCAGACTGGCTCCCACCACGTGGCAAACTATAAAATTAGTGGCGAAACTTTAACACTTTTTATCTATCATGGTAGATATTCATTATATATATATATATATATAAAAACGTTGGAAGGTAGCCAACGTAACAATCATAATCTGCATGATCAACATTTTAATCTCTCTTTTTTGGCAATAATGAATAGATTGATTTCAAGGACACCTTGTAAAAATATCATCTTGAAAAAAAAGCATTGTCTGACAAGCTTCTCAGCAGAATGCGAGAACCCCGTCAATAAAAATTACAAAAAGAAAAAACACCTAATGATGAATATCCAAAGTGATCAAATTACATGCTGCAATATGAGGATCCAAGCAAATGTACAACTCAAATTCAAATTTGTAGTAGATGTATGTTTGTCCCAAAATGGAACCATATGGCTTTGGCCAGAACTTTTCCCACCACACCGAGGGAAAATAGCAGCAAGTCTTTATTTGAAAATATCTAGCAAAAATAGTGTGTTTGTCTATAGAATTCCTATAGTTTTGTATAACTTGGGTCTCCTTCCTTGAGTAGACAGTAGGTTGTAAAAGTAGCTCTCATGCTCAAATTTGATAGTTTTATTCTAATATCCGAGATATAGGATGTGAAGCTAGAACTTACGTGCTTCGAATATGCTAACAACAATAAACACAATCTCATATCAAGTATTCTAAATTAAAAATATGAACCATCCTGTTATAAACAGAACTTTGCCTGCAGCACAGAGTCTCTTCACTAGCCATCTCTCTCTCTCTCTTATTTTTGGCATATATAACTATAGCTCTTCGTCTAACAATGTCTTGCAGAAGGTACAGTCTTTGTCAGAAGAAAGTCTTATACCATCAAATAAATTTCCTCCTTCATTGAGTAGACATTAAGCAAAACCTAACAGCATCAAGAGATCTCAAGGAATAACTCGGCATTATTTAAACAGGGTGAGTGATGCATGTCTAAAACAGCCAATCAAAAAGAATCATAATGAAGTTCATTCGATCAACGAAACCTAACAACATCAAGAGATCTCAAGGAATAAAATCACACAGTGGTCGTAAGCAACCATAGCCTAGGTGTCAGCTGTGCAGTGAGGATAGGCAGCTGAGGGAAGCCAAAAAAGCATCGAACATCAATCATGTGCAGGCAAATTGGAAAAAAAAAAAAAAACACAGTTGATCAACATGCGGGCATAAAAAACATGGCTGAAACAGTTAAGGTATTTGACTGAAGAGAAGCTTTTTTGGCTGGCTGAAACTTTTCCAGCATTCGATGAAGATAGAGTGAAAGAAAAACGTTATACTGATGGACAGAAAAACCTTCATGGTTTTATATGATGAACACATAAAAAGCAATACAAGATGAAGGCAGGTCTGGTAGAGGAGTTGTATGCTAAAAAGATACTTGTAAATGAGCATGTTTAAGTTATGAAATTTTTGTGTCTAGTCATGGTAGTCTTGCATTTGCAAAATGGTAGATCATTGTGCCAATGTTGACAAAGCTGATTTAAAAAAAAATGTCAGGTGAAAAAAAAATCCGAGAGCCGATCTTAGGCTATCAAAAGCATAGCATGGTTTTTCCTCGTAATGAGAAATGATGATGTGGAACTTCAAAGCTGGCCAACTTTTTTTTCTCTTCGCAGGAATTACTTGACAGAAAAACATACATAGGAGCGAAAAAGGTAGGTACGTTTGCTGGGGATGGCGTTGACGCACATATCCTCTTAAGAAAAAAATTTGAAGATGATCTCGCATTACAGGGAGAAATTGTTGTAGACTAGGAGCTGCTGCGACTAGCCAAAAAAGAGTAATGAAGAGAACAAACACAAAAGGGCATAAAGACATCTTCAAGTGGCAAATTAAAATAAATGAATAAACCGAAAAGGCAATGAGCTGCGCAGGTCTTTAATCGAATGACTGGAGGAGAAAAGTTTATTTGACGCAAAAAGAAAAACAAAGAACAACCATCAAGAACTTGATAGAAAGAATCATTACTATCTTGCTGGAAAGAAACAATCTTTTTTCTGTTAGAAGGCTAAGAAAAAGAAATACCAAGAATAAAATAAAAAATAAAAAACTTGCTGAAAACAAAAACCAGAGACAGAAGAAAAAAAAAATGAAACTGAAAAAAAAAGGAGAGAGACCAAGAAAACTCATCTAAAAAGCTCAAACAATCGATTGCACTTCTTTTTAATTTGACATGATTGCATTTCTATTTTAATCTCCATTCATTAATATCTTAATTACTTTCACTGCATAATTATCACTTTTTTTTCTTTGTACACATTGCAAGCATTTCAATGGTTGAGCTTGCTATCATCGTCCATGAAATCCAACCAAACCAGATAACAAAACAACAATCAACACAAAGTTTAAACTTTTCAACTTTTTCCTTTTTTTCCTAATAGTGGTAAAAAACATATAATAGGGAGATGTAAAAAAGCATAAACCTGTACATTTCATATACATGAAAAATGGCATAGATTATTTTTCATAACCAAAGAGAAAAGGCAGAATAACATATTTTTAAAAAAGGATAAACTTCACCTTTTTTCTTAATGGTCAATCCTATATTTTTTGCCTAATCCAAAGGTGATAGCATTTCCATGGAATATGTTCTGTAACCTGCAGCAAACTTGAACAACCTGAAAATGCCTAACCAAACTCAAACAATGAGCTTACTGATTTCTTTTTCTTAGCATTTGGATTAGGCAAAATTAGATGACAACAACCTGAAATCAAAATAGAAATAGAAATTGAAAAAATTAATCTGCAGCAACTTTACAATTTCTAAAACAAACAAAAACAGTCTGAATAAGAGAACAAAACCTAGAAAATAAATAATAAACACAATAATGAACTCATCCTTTCTGTAGCTTTTCTAGCATCCCCTTCTCTTCCTCTCCAAACACGCAAAACAACAACAATATTGACTAAACACCTTAGCATTTTTAACAGCATTAATAAAAAAAGAAATTAGAAAAAGACTGCATGGAACTTATCACCTTCTCTACACATTGTTTTCTTGTAATCAAACCAAAAATCTCTTTCCTGAATGTAGTTCAAGAATGTAAAAGAACAAATTAAACACAGATAATCATCAAAACAAACCCAGTCTCTGCTGACCAACAATTAATCAAGCAAGAATGGTTAAAAACCTAAAAAAGAGGATTTCTCAGAAAACCTTAGAGATTCTACCTCAGCAGACCTTGACCCGAATTGGAGGGTATCGGGTTAGCCCTTAGCAGAGGAGGACTTGGTTCTAGCTGGGTGTTGTTGGGGTTTCATCGAGGGCTGATTTTATAGGAGGACGTGACTGGTTTCTGGCTCTAGATCGTTCCTTTTTTCTTCTTTCAAGAAGAAATCAAATTCCTGGATCAAGATTGCTTTAATCCAGGTGCCCGCTGCTTCCCTCCCTGTATTGCTTGCCTCTAGTATGGCAAAAGGGACCAAAATAGCTGATGCCTTTCCTCTCTCTTTTCCCTCCGATCCTCTTTCAAGTTTCACAGCGCCCCTAAATCAGAGGGAGATTTCAGACAGGTAAAAGGGCAAAACTGTAAGCACACTATTAAAGTCGACAGTGAATCTGAGTGTGTACCTGTGCACCAAACAATAAAAAAGCCACACGTTTTAGTGTTGTCGGTAATAAATATCAGTAGATATGATATTGAGAAGTAAGTGCATGGAAAAATAATAATAATAATCTCCAATTTGATTTGTATCGTTGTGATTAATCGTTTTGGAAACATATATATGCTTACTGGAATCAACAAAACTCATGTGTTGTCCAGCCATAAATAATATTATGAATTTGGAAGCTGCAACTGAAACTACAATGGAAGTTGAACAAGAAGATATGCATGTGTGAAACTTATTTTAGCCCAACATGTCCAAGCTTGAAATTCAGCCCAAACTCGACAGTATTTTTTTAAAAAAAATTGCAAGATAATTTGCATCCCCCCCTTCTTTTTATTCCTCCTTGCTGTGACTTCCTTCCACATATACCAAATATTTTAGTTTTGATTTTAATTTTTACTTCAAGAAAGGTTAAGGGAACAATTTAGCATTTCCCTCTACTATTTTTTTTTTTAATTGTGACATTGATTGTGAAAAGATTAAAGAAGTATTTAGGGTTTTTATATTGATTTCATGATAAAATGATTTAATAATTTTAATTGATATTTTAGGATGTTGATTAATCCTAAACAAGTTGATTATATGACTTGAATTATATGTTTTTTGAAGAATCTAATATTATTTGTGGAATCTACATATTTGAAGATTAGCATGTAGGTGTCTTGAAAATTTTAATTGATCGATTAATTTGAATCAACTAATTGATTGGCTTGTATTATCAATCGATAGACTAGTCTAAACTGGTTGACCAGTTAGCTTGTGATAATGGTTGACTAATTTGATATCTTAGTCGACCGGTTGATCTAACAGTGAATGTCAATTAGAGAATCAACTAATTGATTGGCTTGTATTATCGATCAATAGATTAGTCTAAGCTGGTTGACCAATTGGCTTGTGATAGTGGTTGATTGATTTGATATCTTAGTCGATCGGTTGATTTGGCAGTGAATGTCAATTAGGTTTGTTAGGTTTGATAAGTTTGGGTTATGTTAATGATCAATCGAGTGAATCGGTTTGAGTTTATGATTGCATTTTGGTTTCTAAACTTAGAGTTTAATCTTTTATGTACTTGTTTCAAGTAATTTTTCAGTGTTTTTCATATCCGTTATAGGTTATGCCAACGTTTCTCTCAGTGATCTTTAATAGTTTTCAGTTCTACATTTATTTGTCTTTTATTTTTGTTTTTCGAGTGAGTGGAATAATCTTTAATGTATATATAGTATAAATAATATATGTGTGGTTATTATATAACGAGTACAAATGATTAATTCATAAATATTTTTTATATTGTTTTATTATCTGAATATTCATTTATTATTGATTTCACACTCATATTTTATTTAATTAAATTCTATTTGATTACTTTAATAATTATATAAATATCTATTATGTTTTGATAAAGAACTTGTCAATAACTTCGTTCTAACAGAGCATAGCTAATCTATATGTATATAATATTTTGTATGCCCAGGTGGGGAAAGAGGTAGTAGCTTGTGGAGATTGATCTTTCCACAGTGATCGCTTTAAGATGTGATTTAACTTATATTAATATATTTAGTATGTATATTTATATAAGGATATATATGACTTATAAGTTATTAATATCTAATATGTATATTAAATATTATTTTTTATTGAGTTGGTCGAACTCATCTTTTTATTTTATTATTATTTTAGGTTATTTCTGCTAATGAGTTGATATTTAGTTGAGAGTTTATGTTACTTTGTTTGTTGGTATATCTTGTTTGTTTTTGCGAGGTTTTTTTTGTGATTTTTTTTTTGATGTTTTGAACACTTTATTATTATAATATTTTAATTAAGTTTGAAATTTTTTAAGAATATTATATATTGAAAGATTAAGAAATGCTACAAAGTTTTCATACAATTTATTTTATAATATGTATTTTATAATATGTATGTTAAGAGATTTGACGTGGATAGAATGTTTTCATAACACCATTTAAGAACGTAACATTAACCCTTTAATATAAGAACAAGTTTCCATGCACTTGAGGGTCTAATTTAATAGTCAACTATAAGGCTTGTTTTGTGACTGTTCCGAGTTCGATTCTTTCTGTGTATCAGCCTGTCACCTTCACGATGATTTACTTGCTTATTGGACTTGTAAAATATTCAGTAGGTCTAACAATTAGTTATGGTGCATATAAGCTGACCCGAATATCCTGAATTATTAAAAAAAAAAACGATTTCCTATCCATAACCACAGTTTAGCAAGAAAATTTCGATGTTCCCTTATAAAGTGACAGGTGGTAAAACAATGGCTAATGATAAGATGGTAAGCGGTATACTCTGTAACAATGGAATTAGAAAAATCACATGTCATGGATTACAAAAAATCAAGATTGAGCTTTTCCGAGCAATATTAGATTCGTTTTATTTTTATATTTTAAAAATATTTTTGTAAAAATTAATATTTTTATTTTAAATTAATATTTTATATTTTCAAATTTTTTAATATGTTAATATTAAAAATAAATTTTAAAAAATAAAAAATATTATTTTAATATATTTTTAAATAAAAAATACTAAAAAATTACAACTACACCTTCAAACAAACTTTAAAAAAATATATATGAGATTGTGGCCTAGCAATCATGAGAAAGACTTGTTCCTTTCTCTAGCACTCAAATTTGATTTTATAATATGTATGTTAAGAGATTTGATGTGGATAGAATGTTTCCATAACACCGTTTAAGAACGCGACATTAACCCTTTAATATAAGAATAAGTTTCTATATACTTGAGGGTCTAATTCAATAGTCAACTGTAAGGCTTGTTTTGTGACTGTTCCAAGTTCGATCCTCTCTGTGTATCAGCCCATCACCTCTATGATGACTTACTTGCCTATTGAGCTTGTAAAATATTCAGTAGGTCCAAGAATTAGTCATGGTGGATATAAGCTGGCCCGAATACCCTGAATTATTAAAAAAAAAAAAACGATTTCCTATCCATAACCACAGTTTAGCAAGAAAATTTCGATGTTCCCTTATAAAGTGACAGGTGGTAAAACAATGGCTAATGATAAGATGGTAAGCGGTATACTCTGTAACAATGGAATTAGAAAAATCACATGTCATGGATTATAAAAAATCAAGATTGAGCTTTTCCGAGCAATATTAGATTCGTTTTATTTTTATATTTTAAAAATATTTTTGTAAAAATTAATATTTTTATTTTAAATTAATATTTTATATTTTCAAATTTTTTAATATGTTAATATTAAAAATAAATTTTAAAAAATAAAAAATATTATTTTAATATATTTTAAAATAAAAAATACCAAAAAAAATTACAACTACACCTTCAAACAAACTTTTAAAAAATATATATGAGATTGTGGCCCAGCAATCATGAGAAAGACTTGTTTCTTTTTCTAGCACTCAAATTTAAATTTTTATATACATATTTATTATTTTTATGATGTTTTACTTGTTTGTTAGATTTATAAAATATTAAGTGAGTTTAAAAATTAATCATGATATATATAAATTTATTAAATATCTTAATTAAAAAAAAAAACTCTAAAAGAAATGTGCTAACAGACCATGATTCAAGCCTATCCTTCTCAGAACATTCCAGATGTCCTAAATTCAATTCAAAATCCTCCTACAAATCTATTCATTAGTCTTATCATGATAGATATTCATCCACATACGGAGTTATCTCTTCCCTTCGTATTTACGGACATTTAAAAGAAAATGTCCTAGCCTAATAAAAATTTATATACCAGCTATGTACAGTGCTTAGACTAAGTGATTTTTAAAAATAATTTTTAATTGAAAATTTATTAAAATATTGTTTTTTATATATTTTTTTTAACTTTTTTACAACAGCTCATTAACACGTTTTAAAAATATTTAAAGAATATTGATTTAATGTTTTTTCTGATAAAAAAATATTTTAAAAAACAGGTTATAATATAAAAAAATACTTAAAAAAAATGATTAGTTAAAATCGGTTTTTTTACCATTTTTCTAATTACCAATAGAACCAGGACAAAAACCGAAAGCTTGGTTGGAGAAAACAAATTCATCCTGATCGATAGCCTTTTGTATGCTCTAGTTCCCCCCCGTTAAACCAGAGGCTTGGATACTGCTCGACAGCTTCTGCTTTATTTGGCTGAAGAGTTCGAAAAAGGGAGTTCGGACCGGGAGAAAAAAAGAGGGTAAAAGGTGTTGAAGAGTCAAGAATGCCTTTGGGCTTAGCTAAACCATCGAACACGAGTACTCTGCTGGAGAACCATTTATTTGATACTATGTTTTATAATGGTATAAAAAAATTAAAAAATAATTTGAAATAAATAAAAAACAAAGCTTTTCTTTTAATTTTTTATAGGATTATTTTGATTTCAAGTTGTGTACTTTGGTTGGTTAATCTTTAAACAAGATAGACTATGACTGTGCGAGCTAAACCTATTATGAAAACAGGTTAGTAGGTCAACGAAAGCTCAAATTTGCTTTCATCTCTTTCAAATTTCTAAGTTTTCTAGTTTTTTCAAGGGCTGTTGCTGGGAAACTCTTCTATCAATGGCATCCGACTACTTGGACGTTAAGCAACTTTGCTCCGAATTGGGAACTTCGCCAGGACAAAGAAACAAAGGTCAAACAAGGTGGCCACGAGCTTACCACTTGAGAAGCCACAAATATTATTTTTATCCAATTAAGTATGCACTCCTTGTTCCGCCCTCCAGCTAAAGCAAAATTGACCCTGTAAACGACTTGGACCCCAATTTTGTTTTGTTTCGTGCTTTAATTCCGGGTAATTTCTTGTGGTCAACACGCAAGCACGCATATATATCATTCAAGAACTAGCATTTTGTTCTGTGTAAAATTATCGAGCTGCTGCGTCTTCTTGATACTCTTTTCATTTTAAACATATCAACTCCTGCTAGCTTGAATTACCCAGAGTCTGAAGCTTCTTTCCTCAAAGTGTTCATACAAGTGGGGAGTACAGATGGAGCAAAATTCTTGCACACCAGACTTGTTAAAAGAGGGTGGCGATGAATTCTCTGATATCTCACTACGGCCATTGGATCTCTCCGATATAGATGATTTCATGGTTTGGGCCACTGATGCGGAGGTTGCTCGTTTTTGCACTTGGGAACCTTACACTAACAAAGAAGATGCCTTGAATTACATAAAAAATTCTGTTCTGCCCCATCCATGGTTTAAGGCAGTATGCCTTAACAACCGGCCTATTGGTGCCGTTTCAGTGACCAAAAATTCAGACAACGATTTCTGTAGAGGCGAACTTGGCTATGTTCTGGCTTCTCAATATTGGGGTAAAGGGTTTGCAACAAAGGCAGTGAAGTTGGTGGCTAAAACTATATTTATCGAGTGGCCACATCTGGAAAGATTAGAAGCTTTAGTAGATGTACAAAATGTAGGCTCCCAGAGGGTGCTAGAGAAGGCTGGATTCGAGAGGGAAGGTGTCCTGAGAAGGTATTGTATACTGAAGGGAAAATCTCGAGACATGGTGATGTTTAGTCTTCTCTCTACTGATCCTCAAATTTGATTGTTTTGTGAATTATTGTGTACTGGTTTCATGATAGTGTGTGGAATGTTAATTGTGAGTGAAAAATAATTCCATCAGAGAGAGAAAGATTGCTTGGAAATTAATATATTATAGAGATGTTTAATTATGTGCATCTTTTGTCTTTGGGTTTTTTTTTTTTTTCACCATGCCTTTGACAAGGTCTTCTCGAATTCGATCCCTGTACTGGATAGTCATAGAGTAGAGTTCCACAACAAAGACAGTCTAAATCCACGGAATAAATCTCCTTCTCCTCAATCCACGGAATAAATCTCCTTCTCCTCCTTGTTTCCTTTTCGCCGGTCTCTCTCTCAAACTAGCTTCTTCTCTATAAACAAAGAACAGCTGAAGGACACCGTCCCAATACCCAGCCGCTGCCACTTCTTGAATGCAGGTATGATGTATAGCCGCTCCTTTACCAGTCCTCCACTTTCTCGCCAGCATTTTCTCCATTACCAGTCCTCCACTTTCTCACAAGCATTTTCTTGCTTGTTCTATCCACTGCAAATCAGACCCGCTGTTACTCACTGTACAGAACCACTCACCACAATCAAATGCTAGCGGGCACAGATGACCATCTGGCTATTCACAAAGAAAAGGAGAAAAAAAACAAATATATAAAGAGCACTTGGCCTTGGTTGAATCTCTCTTTTTTTTAGTGGGAATTCTCTTGCTCAATTTTCCCCATCAGTTTGATTGAATTTGGTCTCTAACAGATGTTTCTTTGACTGGGAATAATTATTGTTAAATCAATTGTTTGGGATTTTGTTTTACCGTACTTGTTCGAGACGATATATCTTTCATGGGAGAACTAAAAAACCATATGAAATTAGACTTAAGTGCGAGCCGGAGAACAGTGGCATTGGTGGTGATGGACTGATGTCCTGTGCGTTGCAGTGATGATTACACCAAGAAGAACTAAAATTTAAGAGAAAATCTCAATTTAGTCTCAAACATATAATTCTATTATTAATTAAGTGATAAACTTAACTTTATCATTGCTTCAAATATAAATGGTATGAGAAAGGGTTACCTCCTTTTAATTTTAAAGATTCCATGTAATTTGCATCTAATTTTTATGCACTTATTAGTTATTTTATGTGCACCCTCGCTCTATCGAAGATTCATTGACTTACTTATACTTTATTTTTTTTTTATATCAAGATGCTTGCTAATAAGGTTTATATGGTTCAATAATATATTAAATTATGTAATTTTTATAATATAATTTATTTTATTAGTGAAGGTAAATGGTAACTTGATATAAAAAATAAAAGTAGATAAAAATTTGGTACGAAAATATTTTCTTTAATAAATGCAATTTTTTTAGATATTTAAATAAATATTTTTATATATAGAAAGCAGTGGAATTTTACAAAGGTAAGGTTTAAAAACATATATAAAAAATATATAAAGATTATAAACTCTTTACTTGAATAATTTATATAATATCTATAGCTAATAAATTTTGCTTTTTTATTTAAGTGAAAAAGCTAGAAAGTAATTTTACTCTAACAATATTAATATTAATACAATAAAGAACTGGTTGGCCATGAAATATTTTTTTATATAACTAGGAGTGTAGAGAAAGTAAGATACAAAATGCATCAATTCGGTAAAAATAATCTAAAGAGAGTGATGTGGGGTTCTAAAAAAATAAAGCTCGAAGTATTAGGTTCATGCGCATGTCTTGAGCCTATTAGTATATAAAAATGTGTCTAGACAAATTTTTTAAGCCCATGAGTGATGGGTACCGAGCCCATTCCCCTGAGTTCAGTGACGGTGCATTAACTTAAAAAAAAAAACATTGAAAAATACAAACATTGATAAATAAAGTTTATACAAGTGGAAACTTGATTTGGTTTCACTTAAATGGGTATCAAGACCGGTAAATTTATCGTTTAGAATCTATTTAATATCGAAAGTTGTTATTTTTGAAATTATTATTATTTTTAAATATATTAAAATAATATTTTTTAAATTTATTTTTCAATTGAGTACATCAAAAAAATCTATAAATTTTTAAAAAATTAATTTTTTTTAAAAATATTTTTCCAACTGTGAAAACAAACCAAACAGGCCATAATCTTGATTCATTATTTTTATTATTTTTAATTTTATTTTGTTAACACATGTAATTTATATAAACCATAACTACTATATCAAATAAAATTCAACACTTCTTTAACCAAGTCTTATTCTACAAGTAACAAGGATTACTTTTCTTATATTTAATACAAGTAATTGTTATTATTACAATATTGTATTTTAAATAAGGTAAGAAATCAAAATACTTTTCTAGCTATACTTTATAATAACTGGAGTTTAATTTACAATCGCGAACATCAATAATTAAAAAATGATAACTAACGATAAAAACATGTAAAGCTAGCATGTTAGAGTCATTTGATATTACATGTAATCTTTTCGTTAAGTATTAAAAGATTGTTTGAGATCATGGTTTAAACTATATTTTATTAAAATTTATTTATTTTATTTAAAATTAATTAATTAATATTTTTATATTGTTTTAATGTATAGATTTTAAAAATAAAAAAATATTATTTTAATATATTTCTAAATAAAAATATACTTTAAAATATGATCATTAATATATCAAACTCATTGCTATAAAACTTTGTCTAGACTGGAATTGCTATCACAGTCCTAGACAAATTCTAATTAGCTTGAAAATGGGTCCTGTTTCGACCCCTTGCTAAAGAAGATGGACTCCTCTACATTAGAAATTATTGCTTGTTTACCTCAGAGAAAGCGAATTTATTGGTAAATCACCATAAAGAAATTTAACAACCTTCCACCGTCCCCACTCACCGTTTTACCCGTGTACAGTTCGTACGCAATACTCACAAACCCCTCATCCTGGAGAAGTTCACTGTGAAAGTAGAAGAAAATCTCACTCTTTCTTTCTAAACACCGAAAATCCTCCCAGCTCACCAATGGATCCACTCTCAGCACTCCGAGACTTCACCATCCGGGGTGACCTAGACAAAATCATCCGCGTCAACGGCGAATTCCGCTTCGGCAACGAATACACCTTCCCTTGCTCAACTAAAACCGCTTACCGTTCCAAACAAGGCAATCTCTACACGCTAGAAACCCTAGTTTACTGCATCCAAAACACCAAAATCAAGTTCACCAATTACCTCCAAGACGCCCTCGCTCTCGGCATCCCCCCTGTCACTTACATCGACTGGAAACCCGTCAAAGAATACCTCTCCGGAAAACTCTCTTCTACCGACTCCATAGTTTTCCCTCTCCCTCAAGAATCTCAAAACCCTAATCTTAATTACCGCCCCGATGATCCCATGCTTCTTGATTCTCGCATCGATGATTCCGCCGCCGCTGATAAGTTGAACAATGGGAATGAGGGAGTTGAAAATCACGTGTCTTTGATTTACGCCAACGAGAGGCCGTTGAAGGATAGGGAGTCGTTGTTGGAGTGTAAGAATAGGGATTTTTATGGGGTTTTGGTTGCTTCCACGCGCCGTGAAGAGGAGAGGCATAAATTTGAGAGTCAACAGAGGAAAGATGGGTTAGTGGCGAAGAGTAGGTTGATGGGAGCTGATGAGAGAGGAATTGGGTATGGTGGTGATGAGTTGGGCTATGATTCAGCTGCCAAGCCCAAAATGCATTTGAAAGGAGGGAAAATTGGGGAAGGGGTGCCCATAATTTTGGTGCCAAGTGCGTTTCAGACTTTGATTACGATTTATAACGTGAAGGAATTTTTGGAAGATGGGATTTTCATACCGACGGATGTGAAGGCTAAGCAGATGAAAGGGCCGAAACCGGAATGTGTTACAGTGCAGAAGAAGTTTAGCACTGATAGGAATAGAGTGATGACGGCCTATGAGGTGCGGGATAAGCCATCTGCACTCAAGGGTGATGACTGGGATAGGGTTGTGGCAGTTTTTGTGCTGGGGAAGGAGTGGCAATTCAAGGACTGGCCCTTTAAGGATCATGTTGAGATATTTAATAAAAGTAAGTGAAGTTTTGTGCTTGTTGGATTGCATTGGTAATTATATTTGGGATTTGTACTTAGCTGGTGATTGGTGTTGGCTGATTCTGTAGGTTTTGCAAGAGTGTGATTCTTATAGTGTATCATGGTTCATTTAAAATACTATTTGGATTCAATTGGCATGACATAAATTGCTTAAACTTATGCAGTTATTGGATTTTTCATGCGGTTTGAAGATGATAGTGTGGAGTCTGCTAAGATTGTGAAGCAGTGGAATGTAAAGATTATCTCGGTAAGCACTTTGCCCCTTTGATTAGACTTGCTTTGTCGGGTGGCACCCAGTACTTTTACCCTGTCTCCTCCACTTCAACTGCCTTTTGCCATTTGCAATTATCGGAAATTGGCATGTTACATGTGCAGATCAGCAAGAACAAGAGGCACCAGGATAGGGCTGCAGCGTTGGAGGTATGGGACCGACTAGAAGAATTTGTGCGCTCGCAATCACACACTTGAAGTGTGCAGATTTTCAGAAGTTCGTATCTATGTATCCCCCCCTTAAATCCTATCTATATCTGCGTATCTTTGAATTTGACAAACCTATATCAGGGTATCCATTAACATATTTCTGGCATATGTTGAATGCATTATGTTTGGACAGTGGGTTAAACTAATTGATTTGAAGCATATGTTGTTAGTGTGCTAATCATTATCCTCATAGTATCAGTTTCCACTTTTTAATGAATGGATGTGGATAGAGAGTAGAAATATTGGAGTGAGTAACAGAAACAGTAGGTAAGCAGTGCTGGAAATGATTTGGGTTTTAATTTGGAATCTGATGGACATAATAGATGGAACTGTGCAGCAAAGCTGTTTCTGGATCTCCCAAAGCTTATGGTAGGAATGCCATATAGGATTTCTGGTCAGATAATACGCCTATCCATGCAAAACTTCTGTATTTCCAACGTTTTTTTTTGTGCTTTTTCTGTGATTTTGATCTTATAGGTTTTGATTTACTGTTTCTGTGTGTGAATAATAAACCAGTGCAAAAGTTTGTATTCTCAGTGACATGAACAAGAATGCATGTCCAAGCTGTAGCAATATGTAAATGTGGAGTATGGTAGTTTTCACCTTGTTGACCATCTTGTGGCATGACCTGAAGATTTTAATGAATAGCCATTGATATCAATAATGCTGAGGATTCCATATTGATTATCAGAGCAGATTAACTTTGCTTCGAGTGAGTGGATAATGTTAACAATTTTCTTCAAACTCATAATGGGGGTTGAATTACACGTGCTTGATCCTCGGTTTCTATGAACATACTGAAAAGAAGAAACCCAAAGTTGGTTTGATAGGCACATGAATATTATCATGGATATTTGCAAAGACATTGTTTTTGGATGTGAGTTTTGAACATGTTCTAGAACCGTTGCTCAGCTATCAAATTAGCTTGTTCTTTAACTAGCCAAGTAAGAGCAATTGAACCATCAAGGGTTAGACTGATGTTCTTTATTTGGTCTAGCACTCTTCAATTTGCGACAGCTTGAACAAGGAAATCCTGCTTCATTCTTTGGCAAGGTGATTGGCCATTGTAATCATTCAAACTGAGTTTTGATGTTGCAGTTGGCTTCATTCATCAGCCTATCCTAAGCTCAAAGAGAGAACCATTGGTGGCTGTAGATAATGCAATTGGAGCTGCTTTAGTTGGGGCCTATAATTGTGCTTGATGTTCAGCATCCAGAGCTTTGTTACAAACTAACATTGCCCATGAAAAGAATTAGGATTTTTTATTTCTCATTTACTTCTCTTCATAGTCATAGATTTAAGAAATGATAAAGTTCATGCTTTCAATCTTTAACTATGCTAAGATACAAGGGTTTTGCTGGGACTTCTAGTTTAGTTAAAATATGGACAGGTTTTTTGAATGGTTTAACTGATTGCTATATTAATTTTAACTTGCCAAGAATATGGGTGGTTCAGTTCCCACTCCATTCCAAAATTGGAACTGATGCTGGTGGACTGGTTTGCCACCGATCATTTTTATAAATCTGTATTTTTAATGTGATCCGAGATTCAAAACATTGTTTGTGCTGGAGTGCATGTCTGTCTGTATATGTATAAAATTTGAGGCATCTTTTAATGGGTATAGGTGTGTCAATGGAAACCATTTCGTAACCAGCTACAAGCCATTCAAAGTGCAGAGGCATCGTGGAAGGATGGAAAGCATGCCATGGCTGAATATGTGGATGTCATGCTCTTCTGTTGGTTTCATGTTGTGCAAGTTAACTTCCAGTGGTTGGTTGCAGCTGCGAGCTGGAGACTTTGGTTTTTGCATGAGTGGATCTGATAATTTGTAAGACAGAATTTACAACACAAGGTCTGTTCTAATGATGCTTTTCCTCTGTAATTTTCTTTATTTAGTGATGTAACTTGTGGTATTAAATTGGGAATGTGACTGACATGGTTTGTTTCTTAGTAGGATATTGACTTCGGCAAATATAATACTGCCAGATTAACACCTTAAAGGAACTCATTTATCGCTTTTTGTTATTATGCTATTCATTTCCGTTCTTTTTAGCTCAGCTTATGTTCAACTCCTCCTAAGTGACAAACTTTTAAACTCTCTGTTTAATGTGCTGTTTGCATAGAACATAAAAAACTGTGTAATGTCCTACATGATAGATCATAAATATGTGTTATTAGGAAGGGAAGAGAGCAAACGTCTCTTCAGTAATACAAAACTACACCAACCTCGATGAGGTCGCAAAAAAAAGTAAACAATACATGCACCCTCAACTGACACTCGGTAATATATTATATCATACAACAATGACCATGGATATGCAATGTGTAAATTATAGTGTAAGTGTTGACGAGCTGGCTGATCAGAAAATCTCTGTGAAGGTTGAACCATATGAAGCGGCAAAGAGAAGGAAGAACAGTATAGAGATTGAGAAATCCATGGAGCTTCCGCCTGATGTTCCATCTTTTTGTGTTGATGGTACAGTTTTGGATGCAGTTCCTACACCAGTGAATGTCACCTTGAGCAAGTTAATACCAAAACAGAGTCTAACATGATGAAAATCCTTTTATGAGGATCTATTGGTGTACAAGCATAGAATAACTTGATCAACAATAAGCTTTGTTTTCGTAGCGAATAATCATATGCAATAAAAAAAGTTCGGTGTAAAGAGACACCGACTTGTTTAGATATTCTACTTTCAGTTGCACTATATACATATAATGCCGTACCTGAAGGGGTGCTTGAAGCTTCTGGTGTTCCCGCAGGTGAGCCTGCTGGAGAGGCACCTGTCCAATACAATGTTATGAGTTAGCATGAGATCTGAAAATTTTGAAAATGTGCAGTGATATTTTCCTTTTTGTGAGATTTCTCGTTTATTTTAATCCATTCTCATCCCCGACTGTCGTTCAGGGAGATCTAGCATCCATTATTTCAGATTTTGGCAGGGTTTTGACAGGGAAGCTCAAAGGAATTTTATAATTTTTTAGCCACGAAGGAGTTTTAAACTAGAAACCTCTTGGGGGAGGAGGGGCACTATTGCCAATTGAGCTGTAGCTCATTGGCAATTCAAAGAAAGTTGAGGTTGCAAAGAGAGAAGTAAACTAAGTTCCAAGTTTCTTACCACTGCAGCTGCTGATGGGTGGAGTTTGCACATTGCAAGCACCAGGTAAGGCTATAGCCTGAGTTTTGTTGACATTGATCCCTAGTGATGAGCCACCGCCATTAAGAACCTGGCACAAGCACTGGGGTGATGAGCGAACAACACTAGCTAGCTGAGTGCAGCATTGTGAGGATGGAGTTGAGGAGTTCCCTGTAATGTAATTTAGGCACGGTGACATGCTGATTAAAACATTTGTACAATCTGATTGAGCCATGGCTCCTGCCCAAAGCATGGTCACCAGGACCATGGCCAAACCCATTGACATCGCTGTGTGGGCCATTGAATCTCTTCACTTAGGTATTGGAAATGCTCGTGGAATGTGAAGATCTCTTGTAACTATTGAGTTTGATTAGCTTGATGGAACGGGGAGAAAAGGGTATGGCATTTATAGGGATCTGATGCAAGAACAGGTAACTGAGAAGATCCGTTATGTGGGTGACCAACTCTTCCTAATTTCCAACAATGGGCTTTCTAGTCAACTAGGCCAGCTTCGACCTCAAGCTGTTCATACTCGGAGACCCTGGAAATTTGCTGCGAGGCTTACATGTGGCGTTCTGAAGGTCGGCTATATGGGTGAACAGCTTCTACTGGCTGACGTTTCTTCTGGTACCAAGCAGCTAAGATGTATAAGCTGTCCAAAGCAGCAGGCTTTGTTGTTCTTACAGACGCATCCCCAAGCAGAAAGCGTAACGTGTTTCTGACTCCACCTTTACAGGAATTTGACTCTGCACCTTTTCACTTTTAGAATAAAAGAGACGTGATTTGAGAGCAGGAAATTCTTGAGGAGGATCAAAGAAATTGATTGCCCTCTCTTGTGCTGACAACTGTTGTTAAGACTCGTCTGCCTTCAAACCTAAGAAAAGGTGATAGTTGTCTTCTTTCACAATGAACGAGGATCAAACCCTGTCTAGGAAAAAGTATGGTGGCAGCTATGCTTCTCCCTTGTGACCAATGACTTTTTATAGCTCGATACCATTCTTACAATGTGAGGTTTGGCGCTCTTGTGGATCGCTTGGCTATATGAAAAAATGTTAAACATTGCTACTTATTTTTAGTGGATAGAATTTGGGACAACCCAGGAGCGCACAAGTAACTACTTGGTTTTAGAAACACAACTAATTTATTATCTGCACAGTGCCATGATTTTTTTTTTTAAAAAAAGAATGTATATGAATTGAGTGATCAATCTGTACAAAAAAGATTCTTTTTAATTATCTAAATTAAAAAAAATAAAAACCCAATTTTACTAATTGGATATATTATATAGTTTTGTATTATGAAAAGATTTTTTTTGACATTAAAAGCTTTGTTTAATAAGAATACCTGGGCAATTAATTTGTTTTTAATCAAATACCAATACTAATCTGTTTAACTTAGATTCTAAAAGCAAGTTGAAAGCCCCCCATTTGAGGTAGGTTAAGCCACACGCTCTCCCTTCTGAATGGCTGCATATTGGGTTCATATACTAGCGTATGTATTACATGTGTTAGCTAATTTTAAAATCAGTTCTTGTTTTCTTTTCAATTCAGTCACTCTCGTGAGCTCTCAAGTCTCATAAACCGCTCTCCTACTGAAAGATTACCAAACTTCTTAAAAAAAGGCATATGCAAGCACAACATCCAATGACAATGCTAACCTCTCCATCAATGGTGCAACTCTTCTTCTCATACCGAGGAGTATGCTCCTCAAAGTACCTCTCCATCAATGGTGCAACTCTTCTTCACATACCGAGGTACTATGCTCCTCAAAGTTGAAGTGACAAAGGTCTGCAAGTACCTTCATCGCCAGGTAAAACAAAGTGTCCGATTCAAGTAATTCAAGCCAATCCACGTAAGTTTAAGCCATTCAAACTCATTGCTTCACATCATTTCATTCCAGTGCTCTTCTATGAACATCATCTTATTCTCCTACATTTATTAGTTTAAATATTAGAAAGTTAATACCATAAACAAAGCCTCCATCCAAGTACATAAACTTTAGGCAATACACAGTCAATGAGTCCATCCAAGTACATAAACTTTAGGCAATATACAGTCAATGAGAGCACAACTTAAGTATCAGCACAACTTAAGTATTAGAGAATCTTCTATTTCAATAAAAAACTTGTTTTTTTTTTAGAAATAACCAGTATAAGCAACAAAACCTACATTAAAGTCTATACATTTTAGTCCAATACGCAATCATTGAGAGCCTAATCCAATCTTGAAGTTTGCACAACCTCACTGGTTTATGTTTTGACATTAGATTCCTTGTTTAAAAATAATACATGTGCAATTAATTTGATTTTCAGTCAAAGATCAACACTAATATATGATATATCAATTTAAAAAAACTCCTAGAGTTAAAAAAAACTGACACACACAACACACCCTGGGCAAGTGATTTATCCCATGGGCTTCCCCTCATCATGTCAACCTGCCCTCTAATAAAAAAATTACCTCACTGTTTTTAATGGATGATGGTCCCTAATGCCTAACATGATTTTTTGAACTTGTGAACTTAGTGTTTTAAATACAGCACTATCAGACTGAATCGAGTAATCTAGTGTTGTGTTTTTAAATTACTGGGTTAAACCCACTGTGAGAGTTCAAATCCCGAGCAAACTTTGACTCCCATCACTTATGATTTATATCTATTTGAGATTGAGATAATGATTTAAATTATTTTTTATAAAAAAATATATTAAAATAATTTTTTTTATTTTTTTAATTTTTTTTTGATATTTACACAATCTTAAAATATAATTTTTTAAATAAAAAATTAAAATTTAGTTTGTATTGTATTTTCAATCAGATCCTTAACCTGAAGGTTAACTTAGGGGCTCTTTCTATCATTCGGCTTTGGACCCATGGAAAGGTTTGGGCTTGCATGATTTCTTACAATAATGGTGTTGGGTTTAAAAGTCAAAACTCTATTTATTGAAAATATCCACCAGTTTGAGTGTTCAAATTAAGATGATTTTGTTCTCTAAGCTTTAATTAAAAATATCAAGAGAATTTAAATTCTAATTTAATCGCCTCTTAAAAATATCAATCAAGGAAATTGATTCCTGAATAACCTTATTAAGAGAATTTAAACCATGGCTATATGGAGGTATTATTGAAATAAATGTATTTTATTCATCAAGTTTTAAAAATGTAATTAAGACAATCAAATAGAAAAAAAGTTTAAAAACATTAAATCTCACATAAACTTCGTATAAATACAAAATATAAATGAACAAATACAAATACTAAATTTACTTAGATAAAAATGAAAATTGATTGATATACTTATTGTTTTTCCTTGGAAAAAAAAAACTCCTATGGATCCAATTATTCTTCTCAAGAATTTTATTTTTATTTTAAATTAATAATTTTAGTTTTTTTAGATCTTTTTGATATATTGATATTAAAAATAAATTTTAAAAAATAAAAAAAATAATATTTTAATATATTTCAAAATAAAAAATATTTTGAAAAACAATACCCTCCTTTCTATTCTATACGCAGCAATAGTAAAATAAAATTTCAGATTAAAATCATAATATAAGTAATGAACTTGAAAATTTCGAATTAAGAGGTCCCTTTTTGTTTTTTTCTAAGCTTTGCTTTCTATATATAGCAATATTGTGAACTAGATCCGATATTCATGATATTCTTCAAGATAAAAGCAAGCAAGAAAGGTTTATTCATCACACCACACTTGTTATTAAACAACGTAAATGCTCAACACACATACATAGTAAAGCAAGCATTAAGTAAATACGTCAAACAAGCGTAAAAGACAATACGATCCGATATAGCTAGCACGGGAAGCTCCTAACTAGCCACCCCAACTACAACTCAGTAGCTGCTAAAAGTTGATGCAGATGATGCCATGAACAAAACAAAGAGAACGAGCTGAAGGGTTTTGTTTATGATGAGGCCATTTCCAGGGCTCCCTCCAGTTGCTGGAACTGTTTTAGATCCTCCTGCATTCATTCATTCTTGAAATTAAGATTAAGAATTTTGGCAAAGTACTGGAACTCAGAACTCTTCACCTAGCCTAAGATCCTGATGTTGTTGGAAGCTGTACCTCTGTACTTTCTGAGGATGTAACTGAGTTGGTGCCAAGTCTGACCATCAAATTTGGTTCATTCTGATCTAATTGAGCTCGAGCCAGATTCAAGCTTAACATTAAGCTCAAAATATTGTTCAAGCTTTGTTCATCATTTAGTTTAGTTGGTTAATAAACCTAGCTTTTGCACAATTTTGAATTCATATTTCTGTATATAATTATATATTCAGGGATTAAAAGAAGGACTTGGACGTTAAGAATCAATTAGAACATCATTGTGGACATTCAGTCATTCATCTGATTAACATAATTAGACAGATCACTATTTTTATTAGTGGATCAGAGTGAGGGGCTCGTCTAAATTTTGACAATCGACAAACAATTTCCATCGACTAGATGGAGAACTTGAAGAATTACCTGGCAAACCTTCAGGAGAATCGGCTGGAGACATTACAGGTCCATTAATATCTGCCAAAGCATAAAAAATAAA